GAGCCCAGGAGTTGGAGGTTGCTGTGAGCTGTAATGCTATGGCACTCTACCCAGGGGGACAGCTTGAGGCTCTGTCTCAAAAAAAAAAAAAAAAAAAACAATGACAACTACAACCAAAAATAAAATAGGCAGGCATTGTGGCAGGAGCCTATAGTCCAAGTGCTTGGGAGGCTAAGGCAAGGAAATCGCTTAAGTCCAAGAGTTTGAGGTTGCTGTGAGCTGTGACACCACGGCACTCTACCCAGGGTAATAGCTTGAGACTCTGTTTCAAAAAAAAAAAGAGAATAGTTTCATGAATATATAACATACCCCCGAAAAGCCATGAGGCCTCCAGTGCTGCAGTCCCCCTCCTCCAACCCAGAGCACAAAGGCAAAGGGGGGTCGCAAACCACAGGAGCTGAATACCACGTCTGTGTATTGACTCAATTCTGGGGAGACACCCACCAAGCTGATCAGCAGTCCAGTTTATTTTGCAGGTTTCATTTCCACCCAGTTGGTCTCAATTCTCTGCACAGCTCCCCAGTGTTGTTTGCACGTTCCAATCACACTGACATCATCCTGTTATTCCTGAGCCCAGGCTCCCTCCCGCTCCTTTGATCTACTGAAGGGCTTTTCACCAGTCCCGCATGGCCACATGTCGCCCACTGGCCTACCCCTCAGCCCACCCTTGTGCTCACTCTGTTCTCAGCAATGGTTCCCTGAACTTTTTCCCTCTTGAGTCTACATCCCGCTAGAACAGGTTTAAGTTGGAAGGCAGGAGAGAAGGGAGAAGAGAGATGCATTCTTGCCATCCTACTGCCCTCTCATGGAATCATGAGCAAAATGACTGCTCAGTGAGACAGGGCAGAATCAACCTCAGCAGTGAATCTCTATCCAGGACTGCCTGGGATGCTGAGGAGTGGGGAAAGTGGGCAGTTCAGAGAATCCAAAGACTGCTCACTGAGTTAAAAGCCATTTTCAAAGGGCAAGGTCCAAGCAAAGGTTGCACTACCTGTCCTAAAACCCCCATCCATTCCTACCACTAACATTCCCCACCAGGAAAAGCCCAAATTGCTGCCTGATGTTAGAAAGTAGAAATCCAACACTCCATGTGGCAAAAAAAAATACTAAATCTGCTGGGATGCTAGAGACAGGGGTGGGAGGTGTATTTAACACCACCCATTCCAGACATTTCTCCCATCACACTGGGGTGCCTATTTATATTAAAGAAGTTACAAAAATGTTTAAAAGCTCCCACTACCCCAAAGGGGCACATAATCAATAGAAGCAAAGCTTTTAGAAGTCAGAACATGTCAAAGAAGAAAATTCCTTTTTGTTGATATTTATAATCCATTACGAAGTAAATGTTAACTAGCTCAAGTGAATTATGACCAATCTATATGGGGATCTTCAATCCTCCAGCTGACAGCAGAGACTAAGTACCCACTCTACCCAGAACCTGGGAAAGCCAAGGGAAGAAAAAAATACAACACCTGCCTGGAGAGCCTCCCTGTCCCGGTGTGGCTTATTTGCTTATTCAGGCATTCACTTGCCCTTGCTTGTTGAACAAAACATACCCCAGCACTTCTATGTTCCAGGCAATGGGCTGGGTGTTATCTGGATAAGTAGACATGAATAGGACAGAATCTCCACCCTCAGTGGGCTCCTTCTCATGGACACTGTCCTCTATCTCTAAAAACAAACAAGCCCTCTCCCCTATTCCTATTCATGGCCTTCCTCCAAGGCACAAAACCTGAGCATCTCCTTTGAGTCCAGCAATACAGGTCTCACCAGCGGGAAGAGAAGAAAACAAAGTTGTCATTTCAGGGAGCCAAACAGACTGAGGCTTTGTATTTCATCCAACCAGACCAGGCCGCACTCAGAAGGGACAGTTTCAAAGTAGATATATTTCAGGTTGATGATGACAAAGATGGGGCACTCAGAAAAAAGTGTTATATTTGGCAGGAAGTATTAAAGTCACAATCAAAATATATCTGACTGTGCAGGGCCAAGAAGCTATACAGTTTCTGAGATAATAAACCAAGTCTAACCACAAAAAAGGTCCTCCCCAGTAGGTAGAATAGGGTCACCTGGGAAGGTCCATCCACAACTCAGGTCTAAAGTACCACGGCAGGAGCTATCAGCCAGCATCTGAAACCTCAGCTGACCAGAGACAGTAGCCTGGATCTCAAGGCAACATGAAGACCAAGGAATAAGTCAGAAATAGTAAGAGATAATGAGGAAACAAATTTAAATCCATGATAAGAGCACTTTTGTTTTACTGGCCAGTTTTGCGGTAATTCAAATGAAGTGTGAGCAACTTGTTTGATTTTAAGGTATTTAAAGTATTTAAAAGAATTTGGTTCTCTGAAAAGTTTAACTAATTGAGTCTGCAACCAATATTTAAATGTTTAAGGAAATCTAACTTGTTGACCTCATTATTCATTGTCTGTATAAATACTTTGGGAATATTTTAAGAAATATTAATTATTTAAAAATTAATAGGCCAGGGGCAGTGGCTCACACCTGTAATCCTAGCACTCTGGGAGGCTGAGGCAGGTGGATAGCTTGAGCCCACAAGTTTGAGACCAGCCTGAGCAAAAGCAGAACCCTGCCTCTACTAAAAATAGAAAAATTGAGGCAAGAGGATCACTTGAGCCCAAGAGTTAGAGGTTGCTATGAGCTATGATGCCATAGCACTCCACCCAAGGCAACAGCTTGAGACTCTGTCTCAAAAAGAAAAAAAAAAAAAAATTTTTTTTAAATAAATTTGAGAGCTGGGCACGTTGGCTTATGTCTGTAATCCCAGAACTTTGGGAAGCCAAAGTGGGCAAATCGCCTATGCCCATGAGTTCAAGACCAGCCTGAGCTAGAGCGAGACTTCATCTCTAAAAATAGCTGGGCGTTGTGGTAGGCGCCTGTAGTTCCAGCTACTTGAAAGGCTGAGGCAAAAGAATCCTTTGAGCCAAAGAGTTAGAAGGTGTTGTGAGCTATAATGCCAGGACACTCTAGTGGGGGTGACAAACTGAGGTTCTGTCTCAAAAAAAAATAATAATTAATAAATTGGGGCCAGGTGCAGTGGCTCATACCTCTAATCCTAGCACTCTGGGAGGCTGAGGTGGATGGAGCTTATGAGTTCAAGACAAGCCTGAGCTAGCGCAAGACCCCGTTTCTACTAAAAATACAAAATAACGAGGCAAGAGGATCACTTGAGCCCAAGAGTTGGAGGTTGCTGTGAGCTATGATGATGCCACGGCACTCTACCCAGAGCGACAGCTTGAAACTCTGTCTCCAAAAAAAAAAAAAAAAAAATTAATAAATTGGACACTAAATAAAGGACACATAGTAGGGAATATTCTTTTCCAAGTATAAAAACACACTGGAGGTCTTAGGTATTGCAAAGACATGAGCTCAGTGTGGTTTGTATTACTGTTTTGGGTTTTTTTACAAAGAACATTTGATTTGGGGTGGATATTCTAAAAGTTATTCCCATCCATATTCTGCATTTTCCAGCCCTCATGCTTTTGCTCAAGCTGTTTATTTGCCTAGAACAACCCCTTATATCCTCCATCTCTGTAACTTACCTACTCTTCAAGATACCCATTAAATAGCTCAGTGCCCATAGCACAGTGGTTACAGCATCGGCCACATGCACCAAGGGTGGCGGGTTCAAACCCAGCCCTGGCCTGCTAAACAATGACAACTGGAATAAAAAAAATAGCCAGGCATTGTGGCGGGAGCCTATAGTCCCAGCTACTTGGGAGGCTGAGGCAATAGAATCACTTAAGCCCAAGAGCTTGAGGTTGCTGTGAGGGGTGACACCACAGCATTCTACCAAGGATGATATAGTGAGACTCTATCTCCAAAAAAAAAAAAAGATTCCCATTAAATGTCACCTCTTCCAGCAAGTTTTCCATGATGTCCAGGGAAGTAATGTCTTCCACCAAAGGTCTCCCCCAAATAGTGTACCTATGCTACACCTCTGTACACACACTGCTCTGCTGTATAACTTCCCAAATATTCATTTAAAACTTACTGAGCACCTACTAAGTGCCAGTTCTTCTCCCCAGGTGCATACTCCCTGAGAACCCACGCCATATCTTACCAATAATCGTACCTCCCATGGAGCCCAGCACAGTGTCCTGATACAGATTTAGCATTCAATACATGTTAACATTCAGGATGCTGTCACTTTTCTGTTAAAACATGTGGATGGTTCCCAGTGCCAGTGTAATCCAACCCAAATCGCTTAACCTGCCACTGAAGGTGCTCCAGGGTTCAGCCCAACCTACCCCCACAGTCTCATCTCCCACTGCCCTCCTATGCATGCTATGTACTCCAGACTAAAGAGACCCCTTGTCTGCCCCAAGCTTACCCTGCACCTTCTGTCTCTGCCTGTATAGTCCCTGCATTTAGACCTCTCTCACCTGCTCATCCTTCTGATTCACCTTAGATGAACTCCATGGCACTTTGCTTACATTCCTTACAGCCTCATTGCATTCTAGCCTGTCTTAGTCATTTAGTCTCTCTTCTACAACTCTGGAGAATCTTACAGAGCAGTAATCGTATCTCATCTGTGCTTGTATGACCTATAGCACCTAGAAAAGTGCCTCATGCAGAAATAGTCATTAAATAGTGATTATTTGATAAATGAATAAAGGAATGAATTGTCTTCCCCTCTTGTCCCTCCCAAAGCCCAGGAATCCTACTTGAACAGGCCTAGAACAAAATGATTTCCTTTCCAAATATCCATCCCACAAATTAGAAAGACTTAATATAAGGCAGAAAGTTGTTGCACTGCCTGTAGGGGCTTACCTCATATTCAAAGTCATCCCCCAGTGCTCCAACATCCAGGTGCAGGTTCTTAAGAAGCTCACTTGCGCTCCGGACACTCTAGAAATAAAAGTGATTATGATGGTAAGTCAAAAGAAACTTGTCAGCCCAGTGTGAGGGGCATGCAGAGGGAAAAGTAAGCTACCGCTGAACTGGCAGGGGGGCCCAGGCGGGGCTTCAGAGGACCCTAGGCAGGACCTCCACTAAGGCAACCTCAATAAACAGCCCTTCATCCACTGTGAACAATGCTTTGTGCCAAGCAAGTGGCCAAGAAGCTTGTTGTAGGTTGTGCTTTCTGGTTCAGACCTAGCAGGCATATCAACTAGTTAAGGAAACTGTGGGCTGGAAAACCATTTTTACTTAGTTTCAAAATACACAGAGATTAGCCAAAGGTGGTAAGAACTCATGTATATATCATCACAGGAGTGGATAAGCAAAACGTGGCCTCCACATGCAATGGAACATTGTTCAGCCTTAAAAGGGAACTAAATTCTAATAATGCTTCAGCATAGATGAGCCTTGGAAACATCATGCTAAGTAAAATAAGCCAGACACTAAAGAACAAATATTATATAATTCCACTTACATGAGGTACCTAGAATGGGCAAATTCATAGAGACACAGAGTAGATTAGAGGTCACCAGGGGCAGGAGGGAGGGGAAGGGAGAGTCACTGGTTAATGGGCACAGTTTCTACTTGGGATGATGAACAAGCTCTGGGAATGGAGTGGCAATGGGAGCACAACATGGTGACGATAATACCACTGAATTTTAACTTAAAAATGGTTAAAATGGCAAATTTTATGTTTCATGTATATTACCACAATAAAAAAATTTTTCAAAAAATATTTTAAAAAGTACAGGGGTTTCCATGCCAGGGAGAATACACCGCCATTACCTGGTTTTCACTCTCCTCCTCTTCAGAGTCCACCCCTAAAGCCAAGAGGTTGAGCTTATTCTTGTCCTCCTGGATAGAGCCCAAGAGACCCTTTGCAAAGGCTGATGTCTTGAGACCCTGTGAAGGGTCCAAAATAGAGAACAGTCAAGGGACACAAAATGGGTACCTTTGGAACGATCTTTGTTTAGAATGCCTTCCCCATTCTTGGTTACTCTAGTTCACACCGATGACTCCGTTCTTCAACTCCTACTGCCCTGGATGCAAGTATAGGGAAATAAGCACTGGGTCTCTATCGCATGGGTCTGTCCTCCAGAGTTCACCTTCGCACAGGTGTGACTCAGCTTCCCAACTGGATTATGAACTCTGAGGACTCAGCCTATTCTCTTTATCTACAGGCCAAGGTTGCCAGCTAGGCACACAGGAGGTCCCATGGTAACTAAATACGCAGAGCTTAAGAAAAAGTACTTACCTGTCTGAGTTCTCCAAGCTGACCAGACTCCACTGAGCTCCCCAGGCTCATATTTTGAGATCCACGAAGAGTAGGGGGTGGGGCATCCACAAGGCCTCGTAAGGGAGCCAGGCCCCCAAGAGGAGCATGAACTGGGGCTAACGAGGAACCCAGGGCCTGGGCAACAGAAACATCTTGTTACAAACCCAAGAAGCCACATGCCTCTGAGAGTGTTGGAGACAGATATAAAAATAAAACATCTAAATCCTGCCCGCTCAAATTTAAACCACCTCCGCTCAAGGCTGCTAATGAAACACAACATCCAGAAATTACCATTGTGCCAACTGCGTGAGAAATCACAGGCTGGTTTCCTGATTCCCATAACTCTAACGCTATCTCACAGTAAACAGTTCTTTTACATCTGGCAGATGCTGCATGGGATTCTGCTCTCCTTTCAGAAGCCAGAGAGGAAGTATGCGGAAAGGGAACGCAGAGACAAAATCCTCATCTACCAGAAGGAGAAGTTGCAATACATGAAGTTTAAAATTGATGAGTCAAGAAAAAACAGTCTAAGTATATTATTTACAAAGATGGAAGTGAACACCAAAAGAAAGTGGCTGCCGTTGGGAAGCGCTGTGTATTCCAAAGAATTGCTGTACTTTGCTATAAGCCTTTTAGTATTATTTGACTTTTTTTAAACTATGGGCATGTGTTACTTTGATTAACATGAACACAAACTGTGAAAAAATATACATGAGCAACAAAACAAGGATTCTCCTTCCTCTCCACTGATGAGGAAGATGGCTGAAGGAAGCCCTGCTCAAGGGCAGTAGGGGGCTGACTAGGTCCCTTCTTTTCATTGTTCCCAGAAGGACCAAAAGAGGCCTTCATTCCAGGACTGGGGAAAGAAACCAAGCTGGGAGTCAGAATTCACGAAACCTCAGGCTACTCACAGACTCTCAGATTCTCAGTTTACTCACCTGCAGGATGGAGACGAAGTGTACCTTCACCCCTGAGAATGTTGGCTGAGAAGCTCAAAGAAAATGGTGCAAGGGGCCTTGTAAAGGACCCAAGGCTACACCAACATCATGGAATTGCTATTATCTCAGAGAGTCATGTTACAATAATCTGGGCTTATCAGAAACAGAGGCAAGGGGACAGTTTACAAAGAACTCTTCAAAACTCACTTCTCAAATTTAAACTATATAAAAAACACAAAAATTCCATTCCTCTCTAATCCCACAGGGACTGAAAGGAGAAAGGGGAACCCAGAGGAAGTCAGGCCGGGAAGTTCACGGCCCATCTTCACACCCACAACCTCGGCCCAGGGGCTGCAGGAGTGGGCAGATCCTCCATAGCACCTGTTTCCGCACAGGGAGGGCATCAGATGCTCATCTAGAAAATGAGGTGAGAACCACTCCCAAGACTTTGCAGGTTTGCTTACTGTGGAGTATCTCTGTTAGGGAGAAAAGGAGCTGATAGTGATGACACTGGCCAATGCACAGGCTAAACACCTCACATGCAATGTCTTATTTTACTCTCAACAACCGAGGTGGGCTCTACCATGATCCACAGTACCCACGTGAGCAAATGGAGGGTGGTGAGGTTGAGAACTCTGCCCAAAGCCACAGGGCCAGTGAGAGGCAGAGATAGGATCAAAACCCAGAGCTATCTCTAAGATGGCATTTTATACCACCTTCCGGTTACAGTAGAAAAAGAGCCCAGGAAAGCTTCTCCAAGGTAAACTGTGGGCAAACCAGGCCTTACTCCTCCTGGCTTCAGCCCTCCCTACCAGCCTGTGTATCAGTAATCAAAATTTTTCCCACACTGTATTTATGGAAAATTATAGACTCCTAACATGGCTAATTTGCTAACGTGCTAGAGGCTTGAAGAAGGGCGACAAGCATGCTGAGGGCTTTGTTCCCTCAGGACTTTACCAAATCAGGGGTTAGCAGGGAAATTACATACTCCTGGCTCCTAGCTGATCATCTTCTATAGATGGCCATTAACTCTGAGTGTGGGGCTATGCATGGCGTTGTCTTTCAGAGTGGATAAACTTACTGCCATTGGGCTAATTAAAACTTTCAGGATAATCTGCGGCTTATCTGATATTTATAGTGCTACAGTAGTTATTAAAGCTAAGGGAGAACCAGTGCAAGCCAACAATTAGGAACCAGAGGGAACAACTGGGTAAAGCCACAGCTGGGCAACAGCAAAAGAATAGCTAGGAAATTCAGTTGATCCCCATGGTCTCTGATCCAACCTGACTTCTGAATGAAGAATATGGTAGAATGACAGGGCAAGGCCAAATCCCAGTAGAGGAAGAAGTGAAATCACAAGTGATATCTCAAACAGGGTCTGCACAAGCCTGACACAGGTAATCCACAAGGTTTTCTGGGGACCCTGCGAGGCAAGGAGCAAGAGCAGAAGCAGCTTACTAGACAGCAGAGAGACTCTGGGCTTCAGTCTTGTGGGAGTATTAGCTCCCAGTTTCATGTGATTCCAAGAAGGGATAAAGTTCAGAGCATTGGGGTATAGTATCTACTCGGAAGGACCTCTTTCTGGAATCAACTAATTGGAAAGGCTTCCCAAACCCCAGAAAGGTATCTATATCCTGCATGAATGCCAGGGTCAGTACTACCCTGCCCAACTTCAAAACTGATTTTTTTTTTTTTGAGACAAGGGTCTTGCTCTGTTGTCTAGGCTAGAGTACAGAGGTGTCATCATAGCTCACTGCAACCTTAAACTCCTGGGCTCCAGTGATTCTCCTGACTCAACCTCCAGAGAAGCGGGGACTACAGGAATGCACCACCACAACCAGCTAATTTTTCTAATTTTTTGTAGAGACAAGAGTCTTATTCTTGCTCAGGCTAGTCTTGAAATCCTGACCTTAACCAATCTTCTTACTTCGGCTTCCCAGAGTACTAGGATTAAAAGGCATGAGCCACTGCGCCCAGCCAAAACTGATCATCTTTAACACATGTGAACCACTCATGAATTACAGTTAGAGCCCGAGAAGGGAAGTCATAGATAAATACATGTCATCCAGTAAGATGCCATTTGGATAGTTAAGGGTAAAAGCAGACCTGATGGCTGCAGCAAGACATCAACTCTACCTGTTCCCTCCCTGCCAAGTTCACTGAGGCCTTTCGGCCATTCACTTTAAGAGGCCTACCTGGTGGTGAAGCGGCATCTCGCCTGGCTCTGTAGCAAGCCCTCTGTCGGAGCTCAGCTCGACTAGCCCCTGCCTGAGGGAGCTGCTGCTTGGCTGGAAATGGGCTTCCTGAGAGGTCTCCTGCCCACCAGGGGCAAGGGCCATCTCCTGAGATTGTTCCAGCAGCTCTGGCCCCCATGTCAGAAAACTTGAGTCCCTGTCCATAGCTCTGATGGCTTCATGCTCACCCTCACCAGACATCCTGGAAGACTCAGCTGCAATGCAGCAGACCATGCTGGCGATGTCTTTGCATGGCATTTCCTGCATGCTCTCAGGCAGCCCCAGGCCCTCCAGCCGCCTAGAGATCTTGACCATCTGCAGGATGTGCTGGTAGAACCTCTGATCCTCAGAGTAGTCTTCACTTTCTGACTGTACCTCAGGACACACATTGGACAACTGAGGAACTAGGAAGGGACTGGAGTATCGATCTCTGGGTCCTGGGCCTGACTGACCCTCAGCCTGCTCAAATCCCTGTGAGCTCTGCAGGTCCCAAGGAAAGTTGTTCACCTCACCCAGGATGTGAGAGTCAAGGTGTGAGGCCAGGCTGCTGCTGTTATCCAAGTCAGGCCCAGACTCACTAGGCTTCTTTTCTTCATCAGGGGACTCTAGAGACTCTGGGGGGTATCTCTTCTCACTGCCAAGAGACTCCTCTGGGGCACTCCCTGAAGGGGCATTCTGAGCTGGTTCTGATGGGGGATTAGATGGTATCAGGAAGAGTCCCTGAGGTAGATCTTTAGCTGAGACTTCTGGAGCCTCAGGGTCACCGAGCTCTGTTTCCTTGCAGCGCCCTGGGATGTCCTTATTGATAAGCTTAGAGACCTGGCCTATCCACAATCCTGGGGCCTCTCTCCTCTTCCTCCCCCTGCCCATGCTACCACCTTGCCCAAGAACTCCCTGCCAGCTCAGGTCTTCAGTGGGGCTGCTATCTAACAAGAACAGCTTGCTCTTCCTAGTAGATGGCGTGTGGTCAGAAGAACATGGGGACAGGGAGGGGTCTTCCTCAGGGAGTGGCAAGGGACTGAGATTCTGGCCCTTGTCCCCCCCGGGGCCAGTAGAGCTCAGTTTGGCTAAGCTGTGGCTGTGCTGCTCCTCTTTCAGCTGTGGGCCCGTGGCGGTTTCAGAAAACGTTGCGTGGACAGGGGCCTGGCTCTTGCTTTCTAACATATCCTGCCAATTCTGGAGAGGCCCAGTGTCCTGAGGGCCTGGAGTGCCGGATTTCTGCTGTCTGGTCCTCATCTCCAGCTCTTCTATTTCTGGGTCTGAAAACCCCAGGTAGATTTTCTCTGTCACCTTCTGGCCTTTCTGAGCTGGTTCTGATGCCTGCTGATCACCTACCTGGGCTGGGGCCCTGCCTAAAATTTTCTCCACGTCGGCAAAGATCTGGTGGTTTCGGAAAACTTGGCCTTTGGAGAGTGGCTGCAGCTTGCTGGGGAAGGCACCCAAGAGAGGCCAGGGGGTGTCCCCCAGCATGCATGGGCTCTTCCCTTTCTTAAAGGAGCCCTCACTTTTAGCCTGCATCTCTTGGTCTAGGTCCAGATCAGCAAGCCCAGGTGATGAGAGAGGGGACAGGCCACGGAGAAAGGAAGAAGACAGAAGTCCCTGTTCAGGCTGTGTTTCCTAGATGGGTATATAAATATGCAGAGAAAACTAAGACAAAGCACTCTAATTTATACTTGCTACCTTAGCCCTTTGCAAGCCCTTAGCAGAAACCCACCCTCCATTTAAAATGAAACACAAACCAAAGAGGAAAGAAAAGATTAAAAACTCCCTTGAGCTAAAATTATAAAAATAAATAAAGTAAATAAAATTATGTCGTTTTCTGGGCTCCAGTTTGCTTCTCTATAAGGAGGTGGCTAGACTAGGGGCCTCTCTCAATGGCTTGTAAACCTTATTCCATGGAACCTGGGAGGGTCAGTACGTCAGGGACCACTACAGTGTACATGCCATAGAGAACAGGCATCACCAGGACCCAGGTGCAACCAAAGCAGCTGCATTTCTTCTTTCTTTTCTTTTTTCTTAGAGAAGAGGTGTTACTCTTGTCTCCTAGGCTGGAGTGCAATGGCATGATCATAGCTCATTGTAACCTTCAACTCCTGGGCTTAAGGCATCTTCCTGCCCCACCCTCCTGAGCAGCTGGAACCACAGGCACATTAACATACCTGGCTAAATTTTTTGGCTTTTGTAGAGACCAGGTCTTACTAAGTTACCCCAGGTGGTCTTAAACTCCAGGCCTCACGCGATCCTCCCACCTTGGCTTGCCAAAGTGCTAGGATTATAAGTGTAAGCCACCATGCCTAGTCCATTTATTTTTTTATAAGCTAGAACTCTATAGAAGAGGCAACTTAAAGTCCACTAACACGAGTCTGAAAATCACCAACCAGGATTACCCCCAAGGTACCATTCAGCTCTCAGGTTCTGTGCTTAGCTTTATAAAATCCACTAACCTTACCAAGGACTCCAGAAATTTTATAAGAGGGAGACAAGGGAAGCATAACCAGTGACCTGAAACTTGGAAATTCAATCTAGTATTTTCTACCAAAGGCACAGTTTGGTACTGCTTGGGAGATGTCCACATGGTCACAAACTCTCAAGAATAAAAGAAATCCTAAAAAAAAAAAAACAAACAAAAATCAACTACCCCCTCCAAACCTTCACCCTAAACACCATCTGGCTGTCAGTGCATACCTCTGCAGTCCCAACCACTTAAGTTGGGACTGCGCAGGCCTGTCTCCTGAACAAACTCAAGCCTGAAATGTCTGTCCTGAGCCCTAAGAACCAGACTGACAGCCTACAACTGTCTAGTTGTCCTCATTTCCTGAAACCACAGAACCCTTTTTAACAGGGAGTTCCAAGAACTCAATCACACACCCACAACCCAGTCTTTCACCCAACTCTCAGTTCTTCCCTCTCCACCTTTAGTCATGCCAGAGCCTATCCAGATGGCTGATTATCATTTCAAAGAGCTCCAAGTTAGTGAAAAGCCCATCAGCCACCTTTTGCCTTTCAAACACATGATATTAGGAAATTCAACACGTTTGGCAATTACTTGTCCTCTTTTCTTTATCTGGAGGAATAGGTTTATTATCTTGTTTCTCAGAACCATGAGTAGTGTGCCAGGGAGGAGAGGGAAGAGAAAAGTGTCCACAGAGAGCTTAGATGTGGCAAAAAGGATAAATCCATCAACAACCATTCAAAGCTAGAACTGACACCTCAGGAAAGAAGGCAGATGGATGAAATCTTCACTGAGAAGTAAGCACAAGGCTCTGATGGGAAAGAAAGACTATCAACAAAAGAGCAAAACAGCCAGACCACTGAAAGGGTAGAAAGATATTTCTAATGCTCCCCCCTGCTGAACTGAGTTCCTACGTGCCTCCCTCTCCTGAGGGCGCCCCCATGCCTGAGTGAAGGAAAGAAGGTCTGCATGAAAGTTTCCCTGCGCCACCCTGGGAGAGTCTGGGCCTCACTTCAGTACAGCTCCAAGTCTCAGCTGTTTCACCTAAAAAATTAAAGCGAGAACTCGACCTCCTAGGTTCAAATGCGCTAGAGGGACAAATAAAACAATAACTGATAAATGCACTTTGAAATCCTAATACACACGGATCACACTGCAATTAAATTTCAGTTATCCACCATTAACTGAGCACAGTGTAGATAATGCCCCAGGCTTTTCTTTTGAATCTTGAAAGCACTGGTGTTTGACAACTGAATTATGGCTACATCTGACATCTAGGAATTCACAGCACTTTAAAACAATAATGAACCCACAGGAGGAAGGCCTGACTCTGAAGGAAGAGAAAGGACACTCTGCTCATCTCAACTCACTGCTCTCTCCCAAACTGCTCCCTGGCCCCACTCTCCAGAGCAGCAAATACCATCACTACTAATAGAACTGTAAAATGCCACCCTCAGAGGAGTGCTCCCTCTCACTAATCCTATTAGGTAGCATGTGCTTCTCAAGTGGAAAAACAAGAAAATGTTTAGAGAAGGTAACAACTTTTCCTTCTCTAAAAGGAAAACATGCAGGAAGACAGGCAAAATTCAGATGATGTACTATCAAGAATTTACTAAAGTAGGACCACTGTACGTTGACTACCCAAGGGACTGTAACAAACTGGCCAACATGTGGAGTGGTCAGCATAACATACGGTACATGTCCAGTTTATGAAAATGATGTCAACTTTAGGAGGTGGTCAGTGTAGGAAGGTGGTCAACTATGGAGGTTCTACTGTATAATGTTACAGTTCTTACCCTCCCAGCTATAGATACCTAGGAGGTTCCTAATATTCCCTCAAGTTTTAGCCTTGGCCTCTCTTGGAGGTGGCTTCCACTGACTCACCAGGACATTTTTGGAGGTCTCTTTGTCCTTCTTGTCTTTCTTTTCCTTTTTCTTCTTTTTGTCTTTCTTCTTTATGGCCCCAGGAGTTGACAGCTTCCCCCGTTCTTGGATCACCAAGTTCCGATAGTGTTCATCACATGGATGGTCCCACGTGGACTGCCCATTAGCAAAGTTGAAATAGTAAATGTCACCTGTGATGTCCTGGCTAGGGATGAGCAGAGTTCAGAAGTTAGTTCCCACTCAGGTACAAAGCTACAGTATTTAGGAAAAAGAAGAAAAAGGGGGAGAAGGTGGAAAAGGAAGAGTCTGAGAAAGAGGAATGCATAGTGAAAGCTCTGATTTTGCAAGGCTATAAATGCATAAGAAGTAATAATCCAAGCTAGTGTGAACCAATGGTAAAAGAAAATAATATAGGAGATGTATTTCAGGAATCTGTGTTTCACATGAACAAGACCAAAGTAAACCATTCATCCCATCCACCATTAACAATCATCTATTAAGATAGCTAACAGGAAAAAGAATCCCATTCACAATAGTAATGCAAAGGATAAAATACTCAGGAATAAATCCAAAATATGCAAAATTTTTATCAAGCTTTACTGAAGTCAGAGCATAAAAGAAAAAAGAATCGGAGAGATATTCTATGTTCCAGAATAAAAAGATTCAAGTTTGTAAAGATGCCAATAATCCTCAAATTAATGTATAAAGCAAACACAATCCCAATCAAGCTCCTTTTGAAACCTGACAAGCAGAATCTCCATACAAATAAAAGGGAAAATGAGCAGAAATAGAAAAATATCAGGGGTAAAAAAAGACAATGACAGAAGATATTCAAATGACAAATAAGCACATAAAAAGATGTTGAACATCACTAAACATTAGGGAAAGGCAAATCAAACTACAATGAAATACCATTTCACACCCATCAGCACAGCTATCGTCAAAACCCAAAAAAACAACAAGTGTTAGCCAGGATGCGGAGAAAGTGAAACCCTTATGCATGACTGGTGGGAATGTAAAATGGTATAGCCACTATTACAAATAGCATGGCAGTTCCTAAAAAAAACTAAACACAGAAAATTCTAAAGTAGCGATTTAAAAAGATATCTGTACACCAATGTCCACAGCCACATTATTCACAATAACCAAAAGGTGTTAACAACTCAAATGTCCACTGACAGATGAACGGCTAAATACAAGGAGGTTTATATGTATATACGATGGAATATTATTCCTCCTACAAAGAGTTAAGGTTGGGCATGATGGCTAACGCCTGTAATCCCAATACTCTGAGAGGCTTAGGCAGGAAGATCACTTGAGCTCAGGAGTTCGAGACCAGCCTAAGTAAGAGCGAGACTATGTCTCTACTAAAAATAGAAAAATTAGCTGGTTGTCATGATTACTGCCTGTAGTCCTAGCTACTGCTTGAATCCAGGAGTTTAAGGTTGCTGTGGGCTAGGCTGACATCACTACACTCTAACTGGGAAAACAGAGTGAGACTCTGTTCTCAAAAATAAATAAGTAAATAATAATTAAATTCTCTCACAAGCTGTAAGATGGATGAAACTTGAGGACATTGTGCTAATTGAAGGAAGCTAGACACAAGAGGACAAATAGTGTATGATTCTACTTATATGAAGTACCTTGAACAAGCAAATTCAGAGACAGAAAGTAGAATGGTGGCTGCCAGAGACGGAGGAGTGGGGAAAAGGAGGAGTTAGTGTTCTGAGAGTTTCAGTTTGCAAGATGAAGAGTTCTGGAGATGGACAATAGTGATGGTTGCACAACACTGCAAATGTACTTAATGCTGCTAAACTGTAACCAAAAATAGTTAAAATACTAAATTTTCTGTTATGTATATTTTACCACAATAAAAAAAAAGTACAAAAAAAATTTTTAATTTGGTATGATAAACAAAAGCACAAACAAAATTAAAAGACACAAGAATGGGAGAATATAGTAGAAATAATAGTAGTAAGAATACTAATATCCGGAATAATCAGAGTTCTACTTCCTCAACTAGAATTAAAAGGACAGGCAACCCAACAGAAAAAAGTCAACAGATACAAAGAAGCAAATCGCCTCAGCGCCTATGGCTCAAGCGGCTAAGGCACCAGCCACATACACCTAAGGTGGTGGGTTCAAATCCCCAGGCCGGACCCGCCAAACAACAATGACGGCTGCAACCAAAAAATGGCCAGGCGTTGTGGCGGGCGCCTGTAGTCCCAGCTACTTGGGAGGCTGAGGCAGGAGACTCGCTTGAGCCCAGGAGTTGGAG